GGACAACTCACAGAGAGGTTAGGCTTTCGAGGGCATGTCTGTTCATAGTCAGTTGTTTCCCTGACCTGGACCTTTGTCTGATGTCCTCATTCTCTGGGTGAGCCAAGTGACCCTTGTGTTGGTGAGTAAGGTGACCTCTCTCTAGAATAACTGTTCTTAAACTTTGTTTTGTGAACAAATTATAAGTCGGGGCTCAGTGAGCTTAATAAAATTCATGGTCCTAGATTCAGCACAGAGGGGCTGGGGACAATAGTGATGTCATTCCATGCTAGGTCACCCTGTATCTTCTGACTCCTTCCTTTCTTTGCACTGAAAACCCCTTTGGTTGACCACATTAGGTTTATATCCAATAATCCTTTCTTAACAATAGTGTTCACTGAGTAGCACATTATCGTATTTTTTGGACCATAAGATGCACCTAGGGTTTAGAGGGGGAAAATAGGAAAAAATTTTTTGAAGCAAAAAATGTGGTAAAATATTAAATAACATAAATAACATAATATTTCACCAATGTAAGTGTAAACAGAACTCAACAGCAGCATTAACAACCATTATTCCTCCCCAACTGGGGGGAGGGTGCGTCTTATAGTCTAAAAAATGAATTAATTAAATTTTTAAAAAACCAGTTGTATGCATAAGGACACATATTCTTGAGAACTTAACTCAGTTTGCAACCAATGTTACAGCCACTCGCACCCAGAATATCTCACCGATGCAGAGGAAATAGTTACTCTGTGATGGTGAAGGGCTGGGGGGAAGAAGCAGAGCTGATGCAGCCAGTCTAGGAAGGAGATAATGGGGGTGGTAGAGATGGGTATTGGTTTTTAGGGCTGTGGTACAGTTAGGGAGTATAAGAGGCAGGGAGTTTAGAAGCAGGTGTGGAGGTCTGGGGAGGGGCGAGCCACAGGACATTTGGGCTGGATGAGAAGTTCTGAACTGGTGACATTTAGGAATAGCAGGAGCATGTAGAACTCATCAAAGTTGTAAGTGGAATGTTCCAGTGTGGGCGTGTCTTCTTTAAGGTCCAGGCCTTGGACCTGAGGGTATAAGGTGAGTTCTCTGTGCAGGTGCAGGACCCTCAAGGCAGGCCTCCTCAGTCTCATCCTTCGGAGGGTGTTTGCTAATTTTTGCAAATGCTCCTATCAAAAATAAGCACCCCAGGGCTTGGAAAGACAAGGTCATTGTTCCTTCATTTGTTCATTTATTCATATTCACTTATTCATTCCCCCTGGGCAATATTTACTGAATCCCCACTAGGTTACAGGCACTGTTCTAATGCCAGGGATGCACTGGTGAGCACAGCACCCATGTTCTCACTCAGCTCACATTCTAGTGGGGAGATGATTGTTGAACTGGTTAACAAACAGATGTGTTATATAATTTCAAGGTATGACAGGGTTATGAAAAAATAAAGGAGATAAAGATGTTAAGGAGTGACTATTGGGATTGGAGGCAGCATCAGTGAGGGCCATTCTGAGGAGGTGACATCTGAGCAGAGAGACCTGAATGGGATGAGGGGTGAGGCCTGCAGAGCTCAAAGGGGAGTGTAGCCCAGGCAATGTGGCCCTTGGATGTGTTCATGGCTATTGTGGGAGATAAGCTCACACACCCAAGCTCAAGTTTGGGGTACAAGCTGACTCACTGCTGAAATATTGGGCAGCTGGCTCCCTGCTGTGAGACCGTTTCTACTGTAAAATGAGGATTTTAATAGCTATCTCTGTTTTATAAGAGTCTCATGACAATTGGTCAGTGTCTGGCTAGAAAGTGTTTTTTACTGCACAAAATTTTTATTTATTTCATGTATAAGCTAAGGAGCAAATTGTTAGCAACTAACACAGCTGTGTTCTCAAAGAGTAAAGTTTGGTCTGGTTCTCTCAGTGCTAACATCTGGTTGCCCCCTTGAACATGGCCTTGAACTCCTGCTGATTTTCTGGCTTCATGCCCAGTTGAGCTCCAGACTAAGAGCCCAAAGTCCTAGGGTTGGTTCCCATTTTATTGCTGACAACCTGTATAATTTTGGGTGATTCACTTAACTTCTACATCAGTCTATCACCAGTAAAAAGGGTGTAATATTCAAAGAAGATAATGCTTTTTGCCTTACTAAGTGCTATAAACATAAAGATTATTGTTATTAAAGCGAGACCTAGGGGTGGCCCACCTTGCCCAGGTTGTGTGCATTTTATGAGGTCCCAACTTCACCACGGTGTTTCCATGGGTCTCCTGGGAGAGCAGCAGAGGTGCCAGACCTTGATCTATGAGAAATATATAGATTTCTCCCTAGTTCCACATTTTCTATGTTCAGCATGGTGGTTATGGCCCAGCAGAATGTCTTTAAGTGGCAAAAAAATCAGAGAAAAAGTCTCAGAGGAGAGCGGAGAAATGCTCTTTGGGAGCCAAAGCAGGCCAAAGAGCTCCAGAGAAGGACTATGTTTAGGGCTCTGGCTCCCACTCTCTCCCGGGAACATGCATTGACTCCTATGTGCCTAGCACTATGCTAATGTCTCCAGACCAGTTTGTGTGTGGCCTTAACATAACCTACTCTGGATGCGTGGTGGATAGCAGTGCAGCAACTGACATGCATTTACTGGTCTGGACTTGGGACTCAAGGCTTGCACCCAAAATGTGATTGGCTCACCGGTGGGTGAGCCAAGAATCTCCCACCAGCCAGACAAGGATCCTCTCATCTGGTCCGAGATGCCTTTTTTTATTGAGTGCTGGGTACTTTGTGTACAATTCTTTGGGGTGAGGACTATTATTAAACCATGTCAAAGAAGAGGAAACTGAGGTTTGCTCACTTGTACAAAAAGTCTCATAGTGAGTTAGCATCGGAGTCTAGACCAGACCACAGCTCCCTCTCCACCTGCTAAAAGCCAGTGCTGCAGTTGTCTCTCCACCCTCTCCGAGGCTCCCAGAGCCCCTTTGCCTGAGCACATGCATGCTCACACACTGAACCCCAGGAGTGCTGAGAATTTACCTCCTCCTGGGGTGGCCCACAGCTAAGACTGTCAGCAGGTGCTGGAGTAGCACAGCCCAGCTTTTTTGCCTCTTGTTGGAACAACTCTGGACAGTGTTCCCCAGCGGTTTCCTGCAGGATCAGACTAAAATGACTTTATATACAACTTTTGTCTTGCTTGATCTCTTTCCCTCCCCCTCCATCTTCCCCCACACCCCTAAACTATCGCTAGCTCACAAAGGTGGGCTTCTGGGGGGTGCAGACACCCAGACAGGTATGGGCTGAGCTTTGGGAGGGCCTTCTTCAGTGACTGATGCTAAGAGAGAACTCAGAAGCTGTGTCTGAGTGAAAGCCGGATCGAGAGCCCAGATGACCCAGTAACTGTGCCACGTGGGAAACACACAGTCATTCTTTAACAGCCCCTCAAAGTACAAGGCACTGAATTAGACAGTTTGCATACCCAGTTCATTGAACTTTAAACATCTTTCCAGTAGACTTTTTCAGTTTGCATTGGAATTTTTGAGATTATACAGATTCAACAAAATTCACGTTTCACTAATCCTCAAGTCTCACAGTAGGGGAAGTAGCATTTCTAAAGTTCACCTTGGTGGGACTCTGGTGATATGCTGCCTCAGTTATCGCAAGCTTCATTTGACCTCATTAGCACTGCCTACCCTTTCCTGATAAATGTTCTCTTTCTCATATATTCACGTACATGGCATTGATGTGGGTGGCATTCACTTTACCCCCTGAAATGACTGCAGATCTGGGTGACCCAACTTGAGAGTTCAGGACAGATGCTCTGGAGCTGCGCTGTTGAGTACAGTAACAATGAGGTGGCTACTGAGCATCCATATTTTGGCTGGTCTGAATCGAGATGTGTTTGAAGTATAAAATATTCATGAAGGATTTTGAAGACTTAACATTAAAAAAAAGAATGTGAACGATCTCATTAATACTTTAAAATATTTATTGCATGTTGAAATAACACTATCGTTTGAAATAGAAGATATTAACGTTAATTTTATCTTTTTCTACTGGTTAAATAATAAAATCAGTAGAAAATTTACAAGGACACACGTGGCTCTCATTACGTTTCTGTTGAGCAATGCTGCTCTAGAAACTCAAACAAAGGAGGCTCAGGGAGCGAGCTCGTCCAACTCCTCCCAGGAGGCGGGCTGAGCCAGGAAGAAATTGTGTGGTTGCTTTGATGCAGAGTTCTTCATGGAGTCAGGAGGCAGCAAGGCGAGGCCTATGTGACATCACTTTAAAGGTGTATAGTTCTACAGACAGCTCTGTGCCCCTCTGGCTGAGAGATTTGTGGCTGAAGCAAGTGGCTAGTAAGTCAGTCATCTGCCCAGATGACATCACTGCTTTTCTGGTTCCAGGCTGGGAACATAGTTAATTTTGCAGAATTCACATTTGCTGTTTTTCATACTGTCATATTCTGTAAGGAGAAAGAGGGAAGGGAAGAGAGAAGAGGAGGAAGAAAAGAAGGGTAGGATTATTTTTGATAAAGACAGAGGAAAAAGACAGAAGGAACCCGAGGGAGAAGATCTCATTGGCTACAAGGTTCAAAAGTTAGCTAGCTGAGTAATTGGAAACTGATGAGTGATTTCCAGAGATAAACAGGAGGTGTGGGAAAGGGAGGAGGAGCAGGATTTAGGGGTATACTCCCTTGTTGTTGAAATGGAAGTCCCAGTTTTGGGAAGTACATTCTGTCATCAGGGCTCTACTTTGGGACCATCCCATTTCAGTGATAGGGCTGGAAGATAATGGCACCTGTTCTCATAATTTTAGAGGTGAGAAGTCCAAGATCATGGTGCCAGCATGGTCAGTTTCTGTGAGGACTCTCTTCCTGGCTTGTAGATGGCCACTGTGTGCTTGCATGGCAGAGAGAGAGTTTTGGTTTCTCTTCCTTTTCTGATAATGACACCAACCCTATTAGACTTTAGATTAGAAATCTAAATCTAAACTGCCCCATCCTTATGACCTCTGAAGGGGGTCTTTAAAGCCCTGGGCTCACATTCTCGTGTCTCTCTTCCAGGGCCATGTTCTGCAATGATTTAAAGGAAAAGTATGAGAAGAGGATCGTTATCAAAGGGGTTGATGCTGAGACCATGCACACTCTTCTGGACTACACCTACACCAGCAAGGCACTGATCACCAAGCAGAATGTCCAGCGGGTCCTGGAAGCTGCTAACCTATTCCAGGTATGTGAACAAACAGGCTCAGCGTGCTCCTCTGGAGCAGAGGAAAGCATGGTTCCCCAGAGGCCTGCCTGGACTGGCTGTCGGGCCTGTACCTGGGAGACAGACACACAATTAGCTGGGCCTGTGCTTACTTGAAAGTCAGAAGATGCCTCTTTGGAAATTTTCTGAGAGGTGATGGAGTGAGGCAGTGACTCCTTAATGAGATGACACCAGCAAAGCCTGGCGCCTAGTACCTACACTTGGTTCCTGACTCCGGGATCGGTGACTGTAATTCACAGAAGTCTTGTTGGATCCAGGTGCTGAAGTCACCAGTTTATATATTTAACTTCTAATCCTTAGCACAACCCAGGGAGATACTTACTCTTCCCCACTTTACGGGTAGGGAAAGTAAGGAATGTAGAGGACACATGACAAAGCTATGATTTGAGCCCTGGGCCTTCTGAGTCCAGAGGCCATATGCTGGCCACCACACCACACAGTCTCTTGAGGAGAAGTGTCTAGATTCTGGGGAAAGCAGAGCCTTGGCTGGTCAGCACTTTAGGGTGAGTGTGAGGGAAGAGCTCCTCTCCTGAGGGGTAGTACTGAAGATGGGCTAGAGAACCCTCAAAATTAAGTTTAATGGTTGGCATTTGATGATGTTTGTTCAATGCAATTATAATTATATTTAATCCCGAGAGTAATCAGACCTATAGATTATACCAGTTGTATCCACAATTATCATATGGGTCCTCTCAATTTACCAACTTTGCCTAGGTCTAATATTACCTTTGAACTTGGTTCGGTTGGCTTATACCAGAGATGATCTCACTGAAGATGATAGTATTTATGGTAAATCCAGGGCCGGGCCAGGCCAGAGCTTGTGCATGGTTTGGGACTTCAGATGGTGGCATCCTCTTGGAACATCACTAGGTCAACAATTGAGGGGAACAGAAAACAAAGTCTGGGAAGGTATGGAATGAGGGGGCCAGGGTGAAGACCAGAGGCGATGGGGTGATCTTGTTGAGACTGGCAACTGTGTGGGACCTATGAAGTCTAACAAGGGAGAAAGAGTGGAACGAGGGAGAAAAATCAGCCAGGAGGCAGCACGGACGCATTCCCAACAATGGGATGCTGCAGTGTTGCCAGTTTTATTGTCTCCATTACCTCAGGGAACTTTGAACATACAAAGCAAATTCCTTCCATTAGGGCTGGTCACACCTTACCTGGTGGTGTCTTCCAGTCAGTTACCACCCACATACCCCACCCTTGCCCTCTCTCTGTCCTTACCTGCTTTCACACTCAGGTTTACTGGCTGGTAGGAAAACAGCCCTTGCTATTGGAGGGATTGGCTCAGCAACTTCGTGCTGAGCACCCTCATCTTGTCTCGTCGCCTCCACTCACTACCCCAACAGTCTAACTTCAGGGAAATTCATCCCATGTCATGGAGAGGCCTCTACCTAATGTAGCTTTTTCTGAGCCTTCTCTTAAAAGGCAGCATCCCCCCTCTTCATGGCCTCTCCTAAAATGGCCAATAACCTTGAGAAGATCCACCCTATTCATCATGATGCCATTTGGCCACAGCTGCCATTGTCATCTTCATTGCTAATCTCCTTTCCTAGGGCCTAGAGAGGATTGCTGACAACTAAAGATGGACAGGTAGCACTAACTATAATAATAGTAATAGCATTTATTGCTTCAAGTACAGTGTCTGACATCAAAGTAGATGCTCGATGAATATAAATTTTATTGAGCACTTACTATGTGCCTTGAGTGACAAAGTTGGGGCTAGCAACAAGGTCTGTTTTTCCCACTGGTTGAAAGGAGATCCTGTATGAGAGGCTAAGGAGATAGTTTGTTTTTTCAAATACAGTTTTTACTACTTTTAAATTATAATAACAATTCAAAATTATTATAAAAAATTAGAAACCCATGCTAACAAAAAAGATGGAATATTACCTACAGTCCCCTCCTATTCAGAGACAATATGGCAACATCCTTGGTATCTAGACATTCAGGTCATTTTCTGCACATTGATGTGCTGTCTCTGCAGAGTTGCACAGAGAGGCAGGTAGCAGGGTAGTTAAAGCACAGCTTGGAGCCAGACTGCTGGATTAAAATCCCAGCTCCACCACCTACCCACAGGGTGACTGTGGGTGAGATTCATCAACTGCATTGTATTCCAGTTCCCTCTTCAGGAAAACAGGGGTGGTGACATGTGTAAAGTGTTTAGGACGGTGCCTGGTAGATGCTACATGTGTGTTTGTAATGTTATTATGTATCACATACAGGTTTTAGAAGAATGGGCTCCTATTGCAGTACTGTTTTAGTCTGTGTATTGTATTGTGATCATCATCTTTCTATGTCAATAGATGCATTTTGATAATAACACTTATAACAGCAGAATGAAATTCAATGCTGTAATAGTTTGGTGAATCAATCCCTATAGCTGAAAATTTAGGTTGTTTTTATGTATTTGTTCAAAACAATGTTGCCATAAATATCCTTCTATTTTTATTTCATATGGATGAAATGAATGTCCTAATAGAAACAAAGCAAAATGACATGAACAGGTAATTTACAGAAAAGGGAGACCAAATGATCACCAATATACGGGGTCTGGCACAAATAACACTCCTTTTTTATTACAAAATCTTTTGTTACAAAATCATAAGCATGGAATTCTGTAACATAACAATATCACACTCAAGCACTCCATATGACATTTTGGGTGAAATGTTCAAATTAACACTGTAAAGTGTTACACCCATATTATTACCCTACTCACCACACTCAAGCAGATGTTACTTCTGCCGGATCCTCTATATCTAAATGTCAAACCTCTTTAGAAATCCAAAGGCAGATTAAGTTTTGTCTATCACTTTGGCCAAACAATATTCAGTGTTTACAAAAGTGAGGAAAAACGAGCACTTTCATCCATTGCTGGGGGAAATGGAAATGGAAACCTTTTTGGACGTCGCTGTGGAAATAGACATTAATTTTTTTCAGTATGCATACTAAAGAAATAACTAAAGATGTTTAATATAGTTTTGTAGTGGATTGACTTGTGTCCCCCCCAAAAAATATGTCCAAGGCTTAACCCTATGACCTTACAAGGAAATACGGTCTTTGCCGATATAATGACGTTAAGGGTCTCAAGATGAGATCATACTAGATTTAGGGTTCACCTAAACCCAGAGGCTACTGTCCTTACAAGAGAAAGGACAGGGAGACTTGACATAGAGGCATAGAGCAAAGGTCATGAGAGGCATGCAGACTAGATACCTCAGCGTCTCTGGACAGAACCACCCTGCCCACACCTGGATTTCAGATCTCCAACCTTCGGAACCGTGAGAATTCCGGTTGGCTAAGTGGCCAAGTTTGTGGTAATTTTTTCAGTAGCCCTGGGAAATAAAGACAAGCTTAAAAGTCAAGATAGCTCAGTCTTACTGTAAAAAGCAGCAATCTCCTGCTCTTACTCTCTTCTTCAGCCCACTCTTCTGGAGATCGTTTTTAAATGTTTTAAAATTTCATTCATTTGTAAATAAAAGAATTTATTTACTTCCCTATGTCTGCATTACTTGTGTATGTACATTGCTCTCTCTTGACTGTGATTTTGGAAAATTCCTTTTGTGTCCTCCCCCTCTAACCCTGATGGTTGCTGTCTGGTCCCGTTGCACAGCTGCTGGCCTGGCCTGGCTGTTGCCGTCGCCCTGGGAGGTCCTTCTACCTCTTCTCTCCGTTGAACTTTCTCTCCCTGGATTTCATGCCAGCTTTTTTCTTGTATATTCCTACATTTTGATGGATCATTAACCTTTAATGGCTTATGATAAAAGAGTATATGGTAGATACATTTTTGGAGACTTAAATGTATAAAAATATTTTTGTGTTACTTCATATTTGATTAATATTATAGCTGGGTATAAAATTGAAGATTAAGAACAATTTTCTTTCAACATTGTTAAGGCATCGCTCTATTTTATTTACCATTACATATTCTATAAGAATTGGTTCCTATTGGACAAATGTGCTTTTTCAGTGTTTATTTTCCCTTTGTTGTGTTATAATCATTTTTTATGTCCATTAGATTCATTTTTGTAACAGCAGTTAAAATAGCTCTAGGGTTTTTTTATTCATTGTGTTAATTTTTTCAATTTGGAGACTCATGTATTTCAATTCTTGGAAATTTTCTTGTGTTATCTCTTTGATACTTTCCAGCTCTTTTATTTGTTCACTCATCTGGAGTTAGGTGTTGGATCTCTTGGATTTACCCATATTTTGCCATGTATGATGCATTCCTGTGCATAATGCACAGCCATGTGTTTGGCCCAAATTATTTTTTCAGAAAAAAATCATTGATTTAAATTTTTAAATTCAATTTTTAATCTATTCATATTTAGAAACAAAACTGATTATTATATTTCAGGGTATTATTTTGCATACTGATATAATTATTGCTTTCTAGGGTTACACTTTTAATGCATAAGCATATGGTTAATTTTATTTTTTATCTTTTCTATTCTATTGACCATTGCCATCACTTTTTAAAAAAGATTTCTTCAACTTTATCTTTCAACTGTACAGTTAATTTTTAACTTCTGCTAACATAGCCTGAGTTTGCAAGAGTTCTTGCTATTTATTTTAATAGATTTTGACTTTTATTTCTTTGAGGCTATTATATATTTGAAGTTTTCTTCTGCTCTCTATCTCTCTCTCTTTTGAGATTCTTTACTCTGCTTTGGTCTCCAACTTTCATCTTAGAGGGTGTATCAATTTTCTGTTATGCTGCTCCCATAACAAATTACCACAAACTGGTGCCTCAAAACAATAGAAATTTATTCTCTCACAGTTCTGGAGGCCAAAAGTTCCAAATCAAGGTGTTGGCAGGGCTGTGCTCCTTTTGGAGACTCTAGGGGAGAATCTGCTCATTGCTTCTTCCATTGTCTGGCAGCTGCTGGCATCCCTTCCCTGGTGGCCATGCCACTCTGATCTCCACCTTCATGGTCCCACTGCCTCCTCCTTTT